TAACATTATCTTAGAAATTAACTTAATTATATTTGGGGATATATTCTATTATAGAAACCAACGGTTAAAATTATTTTATCTCCCTAGTTTTAATTTTTAACATATCATTAAATAATAAAACCACACCACTGTGTCTAAAAAACACAGAAAGCTACTTTAAAATAACACACTAGCCTTCCATAACGAAAGAAGGACGAAATTATATGGAGCTTTTTAAGGGAGTTTAATAAAGTGATAAGATTATAAGGTCTAAAAAGTATTGTGTTTCTCGTCAGAAAAAAAAAGAAAGAAAATGGTGCGGTGGTGCATTTTTTCCTCTTTCTTTTCTATTTTTATCATGTACATTCAGTCTAGATCCTCACAATTCAGGTAACGTCTTGGATGTTGTCCTAAATGGTTGATTATCTAAACTTTTATTCATTAGATATAATAGATAAAATATATAAACAGGTAAAATGAAATAAAAATAAACACGTTAACTTATCAGCACCAGCATAATAGGGGCAGCCGCAAAATACTACAAGCTCAGCTGTACGTTCTTCAATGTTAGTTAACGCTACGCGTTCATGATATGAGAAATTTGCGTAGGTCGTGGTGGGGGGTTTCAAGTGACACGCGTGGCTACAAGAAACATTATGCCTTTTTTCCCCGACTTCAAATGATTTTTTTTCAAATTTTGGTAAATTTAGTTAATATATTTAATGGTTTAAGTATTAAATATAATAGAAAAATAATCATCAATCATATTTATTAATAAATAATTTGTTATGTTTAATATTTCTTTTCTAGAAATTTCATTTATTTTCATATTCTCATCTGGTAATTCCAATGGACTAGGCGGTTGGCTTTAGCCGTGACAGTTTGGAACACAGCGATAAAAATACCTGTAAATCTGACCGCTTTGTTTGAATATCATTTATATGAAAGAAATGTGTTCCTTAATTTAATGACACTCCTGCTTGAGTCACTTTTTTCTATGGCAACTCACGTGGGAGGAGTTGTCTAGGATCGATCAAGGGCAGATCGTTAGTAGGCGAAACAAGAAGATGAACATTATGTTACTTTTCTTTCTTTTTGTAGTAGAAAATCCCAATTTTTGTACAGAAAAAAAAACAATTTTCAGCTATGAGGCTGTGTAATCTAACAGACTTTCCTAAGCCGTGTATCTCTTTTCAGTGACTAAAGAAAAAAAATCAAGTGAAACTTCAATCAAATACCTCTTCTCATGGTATTTAAATATATATATATATATATATATATATATATATATATATATATATATATATATATATATATATATTTTAGTGTTAACATGTAAAATTATTCACGCAACATCGTTAAACCCCCTATACAGTTCACGGCGTCCTTTCTGTGCCTTTTGTGCGACCATGAAACTGGCATCGCTGTGGTCGGCGGGAAGACTATCAGTCATAAGTGTTTTGGAAGATTTCAAAGAAATGCAGAAGGTTCCAAAATCAATAGAAATATGAAAAGAGTTGTTTATATGTTAAAAATAAACATTTTCTCTTTTAGATTTAAGAGCACAAAATTGAAGATGACGTCTTGAATTTGTGCTATTAAAATCTATTGTATAAAATACAAAGTGAACCAAAGAAAATGTCTGATTTAAGTTATTTTTCTTTAATTACTTGTACATTCACAAATGTAGACAAATAAAATCCGGTGAAACGTGCACGTGTTTGCACTGGCCGATACCCCAGCCAGGTCCGTAGCCAGGGGGGGGTTCGGGGGGTTCGAAAGAACCGCCCCTTTTGTCAGGAAAAGGTCCATTTTGGGTAAAATTTGATCTAGGTACACATAAGTTTCATTGTAAAAGGTTCACTTTTTCAGAAAAAGAACCCCCCTTTTGAATTTGCTGGCTACGGGCCTGGCAACCAACTGATGTCCAATTTTAAGTACCTCGTTATTATGCCCAAGGGCTGCTAAAAAATACCAACATTAGATTAAAGAGAAAAGTGATATCTGCACACACGAACCACCTTATATTTTGCGATTTTAAAAAGGAACTAACTTCTTCAAAAATCTAATTACAATAATTCCAACAACTCACATTTACTCTTTTTAATTTATAACAACGTTTATGATAGGCTTTAGGAACCTAAGTGGTTGATTTACGACTAACATTATATAGGCTTGCGTTAATGTCACTAATGTGCCCTTTTGAAATATCTTAGATGTCGGTACGAATCGTCCGCTTTCTAGTGCTCACACACTATCTGATATGTTTCAACCACTACCACATGTACAGTTATCTAAAGGAAAGAAAATTTCGCGTTATTCATCTTTTGTCTAGTACCTTTCATTTTTCTTTTCTTACTAAATACGTTTGGAACGGTATACCAACTAAACCTACCGCCCATTCAAAATTAGTGCCTCCTGTTTATTTTAAAAGCTTCTAGCACGTCTATGAAGTGTTGGAATCTTTCAAAATATAGAATAAATAAAAATGATAAATTAGGACAAAACATGGATAAAAATATATAGCAGATGACGACGGCAATTTTATAATATACAGGGAACAGGGACAAAAATTGCTTGGTAATGCCTTATTTTGCATTTGCAAGGCCCTATGATATACTGGTACTGGAGATTTGTCTGTCATCACATTAATTTGAAAGACTTTCTCATACAAGCATTAACCTGTATACGTTACTTGGACATTTGCTAGCTTGTTTGTGGCTTACACAGAAGCGCACAACCAGGCGATACACCTTAAGGAACGTACTCAGTTTGAACTATAAGATCTCAAACTTGCTGGGGGTTTTCACTTCAGCGGGTAACTGGTGAACTTGATCGACGATCACACTGAGAGGTTGATACAGGTAAACGTAAAACGTCATTTTCATATCCATGTTTAAACTGGCTGATCGAGAATGTGTGTGTTTGTGGTGGTGATGGTGGGGGGTTGGGGGGGAGGGGGGAGAGGGGGGTGCTTCAGATGTAGGCCTACCACCAAATTCTTTCTCCCCTCTCCCTCTTGTATTTAGTGCAAGTTTGTTGAATTGGGATGGCTGGTTTATAAGAAATTAAAATTTTATGTTAGGAATTTTTTCTGTCCTTTCTATGTCTGATATCTATATGTACGAATGAGTTGTGTGTGTGTCCGTTTTCAATGTATCCAAGCCGACTGGGTGGCAATTTGCACTAGTGATAGTGAATAAAACTTCCATATAACTGACAACAGCAAACATCAATTTTACAAAACGTCGTCTTTTTGAAATGATAAAACTGATGGAAGCTAGGTAAAACAATCAAACCTTCACTTACCACACACAAGAGATCCTTTCAAATTGTATTAAAATTAATGGATTAATATTTCCGAAGTGCCGTGTCAGCTTTTCTGTCAACGGCATCAATCTACCTTTCTCTTTAAAAACTCAGCACGCCGTTTCAAATTGTTATAATTATTATATGATTATATACTAGAAGTCACAAAAAGGGCATTTCGAATTAAACGTATACTGTAACATTTTTGTGTGACGGGATATAAAGTCGGATATAAAGTCGGCGGATTAAGAGGGGTCAGGGTTGTTGGCTTACACCCCATTTCCATAGATTAGATCGACCTACTTTAGATCAACCTAACTCCCTGGGGGTTCACGCTAAATAGCTGTCAGCCGGGCGGACACGAAAGTTAATTACCCCCTTAGAGCTTGTAGTAGGCGGGACGGACATTTAAGTCGGATTATCTGAAAGTAATCTAGTGAGACTCCCCGCGGGGATAGATCGATCTAAAATCTATGGGAATAGAGCCTTAGACAGACAAGTTCTCAACATGGAGTCACTTTTAACAAAGATCTAAAACTAAATGGGGAGTGTCACCTCAGGAGGTATATATATATATAGACACAAATTTATTTTTAAACCTTCATGACCTGTCCCCATCATCTAGTACCGCGGTATGGAAGGATGAATTGCAAGAAATAAAATATATCTAGATATACTTCCATGTTCCAATGAAGCGAGTGTTACACGTGAGAGATCTAAATGGTATCATAATTATTGCAGTCAGTAAACGGCACAGTTAACATAATGAGCAAAAAAATTAAACTTAAGAAACATTTTTCCGTCGGTGACTGTCAAGAAAATTCCCAGGCACCGACTAGTAGTACTCTATATTGTGATGAAATGAGCGATAAAGGTGCTGATACCTGCTCTGTTTCACTTCTAAAAACACTGGCGTAACGTCATCAGCTTGAATGAGTAACAGCATTATCTCGTGTATTTTCGCATTATCTGAACGGAAAGGAAAAACCCTAAAGTATCGAGCCCTCCACTTGACAGCCAACGTGCTCTTAATGGGGTAGTTCCATATATTTATTTACATAGCACTTAGTTGATTTATTTGCTTATTCGTTCATTATTTTTAAAAAGTGAACTGTTGGTTGCACCTCTTATTCCAGGAAGTCTGACTACTCCAAATGGCTCATGTATGCAGGTGCTGCGGGTGCCATCGGCTTGAGTCTAGCAGTGGGATACTGGAGAGGTATTTTAACATAAATGATTTTGTTTTACACAAGGAGAATCACGTACAAATCACTCAAACCCGCGATAAGAATATATAAATGACTAGGTCAGATGACAAAAAAATGAAGTTTTGTGTTGCCTCTCTGATTTGGTATAAAAGTGCAATGACGTGATATCTTCCCGTGTTTTGGACACACACACACGCCTCACAGCATTAATGTAAGTTTATGTGGATAATTGGCATACGACGAACCGGAGCTTCTCTTACTTCTATTGCACTTCGCAGAGCTTACCATCTGGCTTTACTAAACACTTTTCTTTGATTTCCTACAATTAATATAAATTCATTTGATATGGAAGTTACAAACTTACAAAATCGGAACTTAAAAAGGGGCCCTTGTTTATGCTTTAAGACTAAAAATTCGCTTTTCCGTTTTCAGGTTGCATGTCTTTACAACCCGATATAATCCTGGAAAGACTCATCAGTTTACGCAAGTCCCATCTTCATAAAGATAGAGTGATAAAATATATTGAAAACAATTCATTTCGTCTTCTCCAAGTGCAGCGGAAATTGATTGAGGTACGGAACTTTTATTTTTATTTTTTAATTTCTTTACCATTTACCACTCTTTCTGAAATTCATTTTTGCTTTTAAACATGGGTAAATCACGTTTTGAAAGATGTATTTTTTTAATTGTGAGAATCAAGTATCTCTATCTTTCTTTTTTCTTCATTTCAGATTTTAAATATTAAATTTGATCATGATGCCCAAAAGGACTTTGCTCGTGCCATGTAAAATTCTGATTTATATCTGTTTTAGGAAACAATGAAACACCCAAGTCGCATAATGCTGGGCAGCACAGATGAACTACAACTTTTGCAAAATTTAGTTTCTCTAATAAAAGGAAGGAAAACATTGGACATTGGTAAATTTTAATTCCCTTGTTTTTCAACACTTTCTTTCTTTGGTTGACCATTGTATATTAAATTGTATTATTTAAAGGGATAATAACTCTTCGTATGAAATCTGTATTTCACAATAAAAACATTGTGAGTGACTCATAAAAATATAATATATTCTGTTTTCCCACAAAAACGGCTGTTATAGCTATTATTCTGATATCTGAGCTTGTCTTTTGACCACGTGACCTCCATTGATGGCCATACTATGTTAAAATCTCTTAAGAGATTTTAACAAAAAACCAAACTTTTTAGAAAAAAACCAGGGACTAACTTTGAATGTAAAAATGGATTCATTAACCATTGGTAAGTATGGGAAAATTGTTGTTTACTCCAGGAAAATTCATTTTTTGGCCGAAACGAAGAGTTATTATCACTTTAATCTATCTTTTGGGGTATATAATGGTCATTGATTTGAATTTCAAGCAATCTAAAGATATGGTTTTTAAAACACCAGAAAACATATTGAAACGATCGCGAATGAGGTTTCTTTCTCCTTTTTAGGAGTGTTCACAGGTTATAGTGCATTGGCTATAGCACTAGTACTTCCTGAAGATGGGAGGGTAGTGGCCTGTGATGTCAGTGAGGAATTCGCAAGAATAGGGAAACCATTTTGGAAAGAGGTTGGGTAGACCGCATGCTAATCTTGAACAAACAATTCCATGCGCGGACACACATACAAACGCCCACACACACATTTGCGTGCACGTGCAAAATGGAAATAGCGTCTGCTGTTATTTTTTTTTTTTTTTTACTGTTTTGGGGAAAGAGCCTTTTATAATATTAACACTCAAAATTTGAAAATCAGAAAAGAGGGATAATCTTGATTGTCATAATTTTTTAATGATTTGTATTCTATTCCATACCTTTTACGAAATCTAAATGAATTTCAGGAGTTGTAGTCATTAACAACGCGTAGTAAATGTGCCCTTTAAGACATCTTTGTGTTTGATATTCTGTTTGTTTGGTGATTCTCGTGATACCAGTTTTAGTTTTTTGTCACAATTTTAGTCACACCCAATTGTCCAATAATTTCCATTTTATTTACGATTAGCTCAGGAAGTAAAACTTGCAACCTTATTTTTGTTCTAGGCGGGAATAGATCACAAAATTGACCTCAGGATTGCACCAGCTCTGGAAACTCTACGTAAGTTAGAGAAGAAATACTAAAAAATACGAAAAAAATCCTTTAGTAATATCTTTCAAATTTGTTGAGAATGACCCAGATCTAGCTCTTATGAACATTCGAGTTAAAGGTTCGCATTATACCAACGAAAACGTGTTGATGATTAAATTTGTGGTAGGCCTATATCGCGAGTTCGCCGCAATTTTTTATCATAGAATTTGAAATCTCTTTAAACTTTATTCCATGTGCGTCATAATATTTCACAAAAGAACTTCAAAACATACAGTAACGCATCCATAACATTTACGTATACACGCGAACTGCCCGACTTACGATTCACCGAAACTTATCCCCAACGTAACTCGGGGTTACAACAAAAAGACATTACTGAATGCGATAATTCATGGGTATAGAGACCTGGCTTGACTTTTAGTTTTAAAGGTTGTCAAATAGACTTGAACTTGCAGTTGTAATATTAATTTTAGAGAAGTTCGTGGATGCAGGAGAAAGTGGAACATTTGATTTTGCCTTCATTGACGCTGATAAAGAAAACTACCTGAAATACTATAAAATTTGTATGACCTTGGTGCGGTCTGGTGGGATTATTGCTATCGATAACGTATGTATGATTTATTTATTTATTTATTTATTTATTTTTTTATTTATTTATTATTTTTTTTTTTTTTGGGTTAGTCAAATCCATAAAATGCTGGGACGCAATACAACTTGACCAGCAAAATGAAATAAAGAGCTTTTGCTATTTCAAGAAAAATCCTTTCAAGTCACTCGTTTTAATAATGTATTTTCATCACATTGAAATCTTTTAGTAAGATAGTTTATATCGTCTACGGATTTTTAACTTTTGACTGGATGTTGCATCTTGTCATCTTTTTTATTCATGTTTATTAATGCTCCTGAGTCGATTAATTAGCTTGATAACCTACAATAATGTTTCACAGGTATTATTGGGAGACAGTGTTGCAGACCCTGAAATAGTACACGCAAAAACACTGGCGATACGTGAGCTGAATCAATATGTTTATGCTGACCAGCGTGTGAACATCAGCATGTTAAATATCGCAGATGGTGTGACTCTGTGTTTTAAGAAATAATAGATTAACTTTGAACATCAGTTGCCATATCTTGCTGCTTTGCCTTTTGCGTTTTGTAGTTGAGGCTATTTTTAAGATAAGATATGGGAGTGAACGACAATTCTACAGTCAGTAAATTGTTTCTTATGTGGATTGAACATGATTATGTTTTTGATGACGTCAGGGAGGTAACTATGTAGTTTTATCACATTGCAAATCACCAAATATAAGATCTTATTCTATGCCACATACATATCAATATAAATATATTTCATGTATCTACCGCTCAGTGTGATAACAGAGCGAACGCACAAGTTACCCGCTGAGGTAAAAACACCCAGTTTGAGATTTTATTTAAAACAGGCTTAGTTTCTGTCTATGTCTCTGTTACGATCTAGCAACAGTAGCAAGAGTTTGGGTGGAGTCACACTCCCAAAATTGACAGCAGATACCTATACAAATATGGAATTTCATGCGAATATGCTCCGAACGTGCTATGAAGTATCTTAACATACGATATCTACAGAAAGTTACACAATAGCACCCAAACCGCTCAAGGAGGTAACGTGGAAATAATAGTTTTATAGAAGTTTATGCCCGCAGGAATACAAGAAGATTACACGAAGTTACAGACCATTGTGCTTTCTAGTGGTGCTCAGGAGTGACTGACAGGAAGATGCTCTGAGGTTTGCTTGATATATATCCGATATATCCCTGTAGTCATGAGAAAATGCCTCTCGGAATAAACGCTGTGAGTGCCACAGGTGGTCTAGCGTCCATTTCGAGATCCATTCTCACGTGTCTGACGATATTCATAAGTCTTTTGTTATAGTAACAAAAATCTTTCTTTTTTACTGAAATTATAAATGCGACTTTTATCACAATTGTGTTGGAAAAGATGAGATAGATGGACAATTTATCCCCTCAAGAATGCAACTTTGGCTGGTCGCAAGCAAAGGACTATGAAATGGACATCATGGCAGATGTCGGCTGTGCGTGTATATTTCACCAAACACAGCAGGGCAAACGGTCACGTTGCTGTTCTATGCTATTTGGGTTTATTCAGTGGACCAGATACACTTCTGGGTCGTGTTTTCTAGCAAATTACATATGCAATTATTAACCAAAAGAAAGAGGCAATCATTATAATTTTGTTTGAAAAACTTATGGACAGTTTGATCAAGTAAGTGCTGCATTTGGAATAGTTCTATCTTCTATGCAGTGTTTCACTAGACAATGGTGAAGGGAGTGAACCCCAGCAACAGACTGCGGGTGAAATGAACAAATGGGGTATAACAGCGCTGAGGGTCTGTCGCTAGATGGCGTGGGGGTGAAAGCAGTCCTTCTAAAATCTCGAAGAATCTCGCTTGTTTTTGTA